TCGAATGACATGTTAACCAGCTCTGTTAGACTTACGATAAAAAAATCGATTCAATACTAGAAATGATTTAACAAGTGCCGACCATAGTGGATACTATAGCAAACTCTCTCTGAAATGCAGGACCATAGTAAATTAAATGCTAGCTATGACAGGGGTTCCAATCTCGAAAATCTATTTTATCGACTGGTCGCTCACTGTGGCTCACATCCACCCTCATAATAGAGTTCAAAAAGTTGCAGAAAAAAAAAATTTGTCTTCGAATAATTTTCTGGAAGGTTGTTTATGAAAAGTCGGAATTTTTTCATTAAAAATAAAAAGAACAACTAAAAGACAGATGCTTTTACTGAGTCCGTTAAGCTCTATTAGATCGAGCATAAAGCCTGAAAAAAAAAACAAATTTACTTCAATTTTCATTTTTTACATGTTGTATGAAACCTTGACGAAGCAATGTTACTCTTTTCATCAACACTTGTTCTCTCTTGTTTGCTTTGTAAATCATAAATGAACGCAAAAGCTACAAAATTGATTACATTGTTTCTTGCCACAAGAAAACGAAAACAGTATTTTTTAAATACAATTGAAGGAAAGAAAAATATTTTCGTTTTAGATATGCACTAGTGGCTATTGTTACGTTTCTTCCACATTCCAAAAATCTTAAGGATTAAATTTGTAAAAGAAGTTCATCACGCATAAACACCTATTTGTTGATTCTTAACTCAATATTTTGGTCTTAAACTTCTACTATGAACATGTTTCACATCTAAATATTTATATATTTTTGGAAGGTAATGGCCTGAAATCGATATTGAAAAATTCTATTGTAAATAAATTTTATTTACATGTAAAGCTTATTAGTACTTAATATTCTAATTTTTTATAAATGATGTTTGAATTTCGTTTTGACAAGCATATTTATTTATGTATTTAAAAATTTGGCACAGAAAAACAAATCGAGTGATAAATATGCAGATGATCTTATTTATATGATATAAGAAGATATTTTCTTCTATTATAAACTGCGTTGTATTAGAATTAAGTTTCAAAACTAATTTACAATGAAATTCATTAAATGAATAATCTATATTTGACTCAATGAAGTCAATAAAAACAATAAACAACTTCATGTATCTACGAATCTGTTATTTGACAGAACAAGTATGAATGAAAAACTTTTTGAAAAGAAAAATATTGTTATTATATTTTCTGTAAAAGTTCAATAATGCATAATTATGTCATTTTTATTTAAAAAAAAAAACTTATTTATAGCTTTGTTTTGGATCTATAAATTATCATTTTTTCTAATTATTTTATATTATAATAAACATGTGCAGTATTTTCTTCTAAAAGATATTCTGTTTAATGATGATAGAATGTACTATTCTTCGTATGATATAAACATGTTCAATGTTATCAAGTTTTATTTATAGTAAAGCTCCATAATAATATCATTGCGTCGTTGGTATAGAATTTGTTCATGAGTAATTTGGATCCATCTAATCAATCATAAAATACGATAGCAATAAGGAAAATATCCTATACAAGTAGTTCATACTGCAACACAATTAGCGATAATATTTCTACATTTCTTTAAAAAAGAGTGAGAAACATTAGAAAGGAAGTTTTGAGAACAAGGACGGAACAATACATACATATATATATATAGGCATTATTTATCTCTGTAAAACATGGTGTCTCCAATGGATTGTATTGTTCTTTTTCTCTCGTCATACCGTATTATTGTATATCGCTTCTATTCTTTTTTTTTTTGCTGTGATTTTATATTTTTTTAATTCAATTCAATACTTGTATTGAAGGTTCTGAAGCTCATTTTTCCCATCAGAACGGATATGTTCCTAGAACTACAAAATAAAAAAATTCTCTCGTTCTGGAATTTTTCCACTCAATCAGTAAAGCAAATTGTTTATTAAATAATATAAAATACACATAATCATGATATTCTGTAGACTCAGATATCTATGATATCCCTTGATTTTTTTACTGTGCCAAGATGCTGGCATTATCTTTATTATTTAGTACATCTACATGATCTACTTGTTCAATAAGTAAGCACCCATATCAGTCAGCACAATATTGTGTAGCGTACATTGCGCTGGCACAATGTTCGTTCGTGTAGCACATGTGATAAATCAACTTAGTGGTATAAAATTCAACCAATCAGTATATATATGAAGAGTAAAGTGTTTTTTCTGAGTCATATCTCCTAAAATCATCATTGTGTGTAGTAGATAGTTGTTAATTTTTTATTTTCGAATACTATTTATCTTTTATTCATCATAGTTTTTTGAAGCTTTGAAAATTATTTTTATTCCAAATAAGCTGTAACAATTTTAGATGAAACGAATTTGTTATTTTGCAATTAAAAGAGCAGCTTTTTTTTAAAGAAAGTTATATTCCTGTTAATTTAAAATTTCTTTTGTTCGTATATTGCTAAAAATATGTATTTTTCTTTTAAATACAACCATTGCTAGTTTATTTCTGTTATATGTCTCTTTAATCCTTCAACTTATTATTTATACGTATACATGTTTCGTTTAAGTTCTTTTTTGCATGTAAATTTCTTGTTTCTTTTTGTAAGAACAATTGTTATAGTTCGATCAATATGCAAGTTAATGGAGCTCAATGTTATACTTTACTTTTGCTACGTATGAATTATCATTATCGATATTTTCTTTCATTTAACATGTGTGATTTGTAAATAAGTACAGAGAATTTGCCTATTTTTTTTTTATGAAACTACAACTATTTTCATTTATAAGCGTTTTTGTAATTAATAAAAGTTAGTCGAATGAAAAAAAGTTGAGCATCACTCTTTTAATTTATTGCTAGAAGATTGTTTTTAAAAGAGGAGCCAACCGGAATATACGCCAACCAGAATATAGAATCGGCATACGGCTGACATGTACACAAAAGAACAAAAAACAAGATTTTCTTAGTTAATTCTTTGTTTTAATTTCTATGTTAAATATGGAAATCATCAACATCAGCTATGAGGTGTTGGCATTAATTACCAAAAAAATAAATAAAACTAGTCTGTCTTTGATTGTTTATATTTTCTATGAAGTATTAAAAGAGATTTTTTTTTTTTTATTTTGAAAATAATAATAATATTTCGATTTTTCTTTTTATTCTTTTACTTTGAGTAATGATTAAAAAAAAATTAGAAACATTTATTATATTCAAATAACGAAGTTTTCTTGTTATTTGTGACTCTCTGAAGTACTTACAAATAGAGCGAGAATAGAGATGAATATAAAAAAATGTAATTACATAATGTGAAACACACTATCATCAAAACATGAACCAGTAGCGACTACCAAGTGAGTGTTCATCTTAAGACTATAGCAGGCGCTGAAGAAAATAGGGAAGAAAGATTTCAATAAAAAAAAAGGAAGAAGAGTGACTATCTGTGCTATAAATGATTGTCATCATTTAAATATGTACACAACAGAAGTCCTTGTGAGATGTTGAGAAATGTCTTTTGTAACTATTGTTTCAAAATAGTTGCCTATTTCAAGGTTATCAAACCGTTCGATTTGTCCAGAAGAACTTGGCTTTTGTTGTCTTGCTCTAGATGAAAATGTAACTCATTGACAAAGATTAGTTGAATTAGTTTTTTTTCTATATCGATCGCAAACACCTTTTGTAAATTTATTTTTTATTCATGTGAAATTATTTGAATAATCATATCTGAATCAAAATGAAAAATGATTGTTTATGCGTTGATTTAAAAATTAAGATAAACACTTATTTTTTGTTCAAGCAAATTCGGTTATCAGAAAAATACTCTTTTATTGAAAAAAAGTAATACATCATACAGTCACTAGCTTATTTTTTCAGTTTATTTTAATCCATATTAGCTTATAACTTTATTAATTTGTTTTATACATTCTCATGGCTCTAATATCGTATGTCAACAAAATTTACTATATTTGTTTATTAAAAGACAGTCAAGAGCGCCTCTGCGAACGAAAATAAAAGATTTTTCTTCGGAAGATACTACTAACGTAAGTACTTTTTGATTTTTTGAAACAATCACCCAATTTTTCTTCTGATTATAAAAAAAAGTCCTAAGAAACTTCTGATTTCGAAAATAGCAATTAGATAACTCTGATCTCTCTCGTTTAAATGTGAACTGGATTATTATACAATACAAAATAAAATAATTTAATATTTGACAAGTAATAAGTCCTATCATACGTGAAGCCTTGCAACAACTAAATCTTATGTAAGCATTTTATTGCTATTATTAAAAAATAGTCAACTCGTTAATCGAGAACGAAATTCAAAGTTGTCTAGTCATTTAATTTGTAATTGTTCTAAATTAACATTATTACTTTTTTTTTATTGTTTTGTGAACTGTTAGTAAGACTTGTTAGTTAAATACAATTCTTATTCTAATTATTTATTTATGTTATCATAATAAAAGTTGTATTATATAACAGAATTCTGAAAATTTGGTTGAAATGCTTGTTGGATTCTGATCTTACTAAGGCTTAAGAAAGTGTGAAGTTCGATTGAAAAGACTCTGATCCAAAGATCTTTATTCCATATTTGTTGTGACGTCATTCGACAATTTTATCGAGATGTTTGTTTTTAGAACGATAATAGCCCTTCTATATCGACGTTCAAAAGATGATACTTAAAATAATCTAATTCTAAAAAATTCATTTGAAATTTTATGAAAAGCATTTCTCTAGCTTGGTTTTTTTATTTATAAAAAACAACTGTTTCTCATTCCATTCGGTTTAATTTGATGATATCATACGTAAATAGTTATTTTTTTTTCAGAATTGAAGATTAAAGATGGCAAGTGTCTGTAATACACACAGTGTAGTTCCTGATGCTGTCGTACCCGATGGTGGTTGAGGATGGGTTATTGTATTTGGATCTTTTATGTTAAATTGTATCATGGTTGGGTTAGTAAATAATTTTCTGTCAATCATAATCTCATTTTAAAAAATTATAGAATAACATACTCAATGGGTGATGTATTTTTACGTCCTATGATGAATAATTTAAATAAAAGTCGAGGATCTGTTTCAGCTATTTTTGGAATTTTATCAGCAGTGTCTCTTGTAACAGGTGAAAAATTTTGTCTTTGAAAATGAGATTTATATGTAATAGTAAATTTTTAGGATCTATTGCAACCATATTTACAAATGCATATGGTTGTCGAAAAGTTACTATAAGTGGGACTTGCTTAGCTACTACCGGTTTTTTAACAAGTTATTTTTGGGCAAATCTTTGGCTTTATTATCTAACAATTGATATTACTGGAGGTATGTTTTAAAAGAAATTCTTGTACTTTCATTATTGTAAATCGGTATGTCAATAGGTATTGGTTTTGGTTTAATATATTTACCAGCTATTGTTTCTGTTAGTTTCTATTTTGAAAAAAAAACGTTCTTTTGCTATGGGTATTGCAGTTTGTGGTTCAGGTTTGGGTACAATGATATTTCCAGCTGTCATGCCATATATTATCAATGCACCATTGTGGTTTGATTATGAAGAAGCTCTTCTATTTGAAGCAGCCATTATCTTTACTTCTCTTATATTTGGTACTTTAATGGTTTTGTTTATTTCGATACAAAGAAAACTTTAAAAATTTAGCGTCTTTTTAGATTCCTTTACCACAAGAACCAAGTGAAATAAGAGTTGTAGAAAGAAAAGCACAAGCAGCAGCTAAACAACAAATATTCAAAACAAGAAGTGCAACTAATCAAAATGATAACCAACAAAAACAATTACTTCTAACAAATCAAAAAAAAGGTTTGAAATTTAGATTTATTATTTTGATTAAATATTTGAATGAAAAGAAAAACATTCTGTTTTTAGTTCTTTATTTGTCTAAATCATAGTTGATGAGAATATTTTTAACAATAATCAATTCTATAAATAACATTCTATAAGATAGAAGAAGTCTTAGATATGCATTTTTATCTTTTAAAAAAGAAGAATTAAAATGAAAACAAAGATTTGATTGAGGATGATAATATGTTTTTCGGGAGTATATTTCTAATTTTATTTAGTTGCAAAATGCTGTTAATTTCTTGTTACACATGATTCATCAATGATTTATATTTTTGATTTTAGTGATATTCCATCAGAAGAAGTAGATGCAGTTTCAAAAAAATCAACTATTGTTGTTTATGATGAACAAGAATGTCTATCTAATGATAAATGTCTAGTATTTCTATCAGATTTGAAGAAGAATAATCTTAACATTAATAATTCAATAGACGAAACTCATTCGAGATCTTATGAAAATGTATCTGAAATAGTAAAAACGAATGTACCAGTAGCAATTGCACGTAAAGATGCAATTTATCAAGGTCGTTTACATAATATACCATTATATAATGAAAATACTGATGAATATCATCGTCAAATGATAAAAACAAGTGACACAATAAATAAAAAAAACTCAGAAAGTTGAAAAAAAATTATTTCTGACAAAAATAACTGAACAAATTGATCTTAATTTATTAAAAGATGCTGCATTTACTTTATTTGTTATATCGAATATTTTAACAAATCTTGGTTTTTATGTTCCATACAGTTTTGCTAATGATTTAGCTGCTGATGCTCAAGTAATTGAACATAAAAAACATTGGATTATAATGTCAATTGGTATACGTAATTGTTTTGGTCGAGTTATTATCGGTTATTTAGCTGATCGATCATGGGTAAAACAAAAATAATTTTTTCTATATATAATCTATTCGTTTTTCTTTTATATTTTTAGGTCAATCGTTTAATATTATATAATATAACATTAATAAGTGGTGGTATAGTAACAATGTGTGCACCATTTTGTAATTCTTTTGTTCAAACACATGTGATATATGCTGGATTATTTGGATTTTTTTCTGGTGGTTATGTTGATTTAAATAGATGGAAAATGATGATTATTTTAGACAAATTTATTTTTATTTGTTAGTAAATAATAAGACGATTGTCTTTACATTTATTTTGAAATGTGTGTATGAGAATATTTATTCACATAAATAAATATTGATCATTCATCTTTTTTCAAGTTCTTCTTTCTCTGCTTTGTTTTCTTTGATTTGGAATGAAAATGATCAAATCTGCTTCTAATCTTCAAATATAAAATTTGTCATTGTTTGTTTTCTTAGTAGTTAATGCTACATTATATCTTAAGATGTCGGTAAACAGAACTCGAATTCTCACGGATACGTACACCTTCACCTAGGCATGCACGAAAACTCAAACTTAAACTTAATACTCAAAGCAACAAAAAGAAAACGATTTAGGACTAGTGCATGTCTACCTTCATCAATGTGAAAATAATCAATAATCCATTAAAATATTATTTTATTGATTATATTTTTTCGATTGTCAACGATGATTGTTATAAATTAATTTTGAATGCATTTCTTTCGAAGTCTAAAATCAAATTGATTTTTAATAATAATCTATTTGTGGTTATACGTCATTTTATGTGATAAATATACAAATTTCGAAAAATCTTCTCCACCTAATAATGTACTAAATGCAAATCTATGCAAAAAAATAGTGATTAAAACTCTGCCTGATGCTAGAAATCCAAGAAGAATAATCAATGATTTCTCAGATCTTCACTATCACAAATATTTATCTTTATCGATTGGAAAAGATGATACTGACTCGAACCATTGTACTACAATAAACGAACACACACGAAATACGTCTACTTCTTAAAAGAACTCGAATATCATTGCCTACAAACAATGAAGCGAGAGCACGAATTGGTGAGTTTTTCCTTCTGAAAAGTAGTCGCTTACGATGAAATATATTAGTGTGGAATGTCATGTTGAGATATTACACTCATTCTCACCTATATCTTCTCAGCGTCTATACTGCCTTCTGTAAAACAGTCTAGTTGGATGTTAGAAAATAATATAAGATTCTCTTCTTTCATTCATTAATTTATGTCTGTTATCTATAGAAAATTGTACTATCAGTTAAATGAATATTGACTACTTTTGTTGTAAATGAATTTATCACTTCGAGAAAAATCTTATGAAATTTTTATCAAACGAATTATATATCCAATCGTTATAACTCATTATTTATTTTAATTGTGACCTTCAAAATATTTTAAGATGTTAAAAGATATTGAGGAAATAAAAATCTCGAAAAAAACAATTCGAAATTGTAAGAAAAAGAGAAGATTGTCTTCCATTCGAATATTCCAATTGTATTTTTCTATAATTACTTTATTGATGAATTATTTATTTAAAAAAGTTGGAGATGATCTGGACCAGATGCAATAACTGTAAATTCTCCTGTTTGATCTTGAGAAGTTGTTGTAACAAGCAAAATATATGGAGTATCGGCTTTGAGGTTATGTGATAATTTAAATTGATGATTACTATCAAACGTATTAATAGATGAAACTAAGTATAAACTTATATTCAAAGGATCGAATCCATTCATAAAAAGAGCAGCAAAAGTATTCATATTACTTCTACTTGTGAATGTGTAAAGACCTGATGTTTTAACAATGATATTAATTGTTTTATAGTATTTGGCTGATCCTGGAAGTGATGCACTGTTGATTGTTAATGCATTTGAATAATTAGAAAGAATAGAAATCGGTACAAATTCGGTTGTTGTTAATGTTGGTAGAAAGGTTGTTGTTGTTATTGTTGGTAATGAAGATGCTAGAGAAAGGGATCATTTTAGTGACTAAAAAAGATACAATTATATTACTTAAGAATGGTGGACATAATCGTTGATCAATCATCGATAATGGATAACAAAGAGGAGATGAATTACATCTAGGATGACGAACACATATATGATCAGTTGTTTCGCAAGTATCATCTGGTGATTGACATGGTTTTAATCGTGAACAAGTTAAATCAAGAATAGCACAAATACCAATATTATCAGAAAGTGATAATTGTAAACACCCACATCCATTATTTGATGAGCATAAATCATATTGAGACTTACCATGGCATGTTTGACTGTTAATATTAACAACTATCAAATATATTATTTTATTGAAATATATTAAAAAACAAAATGCAAACCTGTCAAGCTGAAATAGAATGATTCAATTTTTACAGAATTTAAAATATAGAAAAGATATTTTTTACCTTAGCAGAAGAAAAACAGAAGAATGAATTGATATTGAAACCATGGTGAACAATGGAATTGAATAAAAAATCAATGATAATAGCTTCCACTTTTATATTCAGTAGATCAATGTTCTCATATTTCTGTTTGCATTAATCTCGAAAAAGCCCTAATAATGAAGTTTTAATCAATTGAAAATCAATATTGAATTGACGACGTTCTTTATTCTGATGACCTGACAAAAAAAAACTGAATCAAGAAAAAATGACATGGCACATTGACTAAAAAAAATGCTTATCATGCCTATAAGGTAACATACTTTCTGAAAATTTTCTCGTCATAATGATGTATAGGTATATTGTATTTCTCTACAACGTCTTGGCAAGATCAGAGTGGATACGATAGTGAGGATATTTATTAGAGCGAAACTAATAATGAGAATGTACTAAGGTGAACATAATAGTGGTCCGTTTATGTTACGTTGTTCGCATTTAACAAGAAAAAATTTGAATGGATGAGTAGGTGAGCAATTAGAATTCTATATCGGTCCAGATAATTGTGTTTGCATGTTTATCTTTATGTTTTGACTTTGCATCAGGGTTCAGCTTTCGAGCATATGGATGAAATAAGTGCCATCTTTCTAATTTCGTTATTTAAATTTGACAAGTCAACATGTATGTTTTGCAAGAATATACTTTTCGTTTTTTTAATTTCTTTGGTTTAATTTAATTTTTTTTTGTGTTTTTGTGTTTTTTTCTAATTGAAAAAAGATATGAGTAATAGCAAGAAAGAGAAAGAATAGAAAAAATAATCAAGAAAGGAAATAGAGAATAAATAGGGTGTGGGTGGGTGTGGGTGTGGGGTGTGGGCGTGGGTGGGTGTGGGTGTGGGTGTGGGCGTGGGTGGGTGTGGGTGTGGGTGTGGGCGTGGGTGGGTGTGGGTGTGGGTG